CAGAAACTACTGCGAACGGATTCGGAAACTGGAAAATCGGATTCGGAAACTGAAAGTGCGGATTCGGAAACTGAAAACGTGGATTCGGAAACTGAAAAACGCGGATTCAGAAACTGAAAAACGAGGATTCGGAACTGAAAAACGCGGATTCGGAAACTACTACGCGCGGATTCGGAAACTACTGCGCGCGGATTAGGAAACTACTGCGTGCTCGGAGTTGTAATGTCAGAAGGGGGTGGTACTTGGGCGAAATTAGGCCTGAACAGAAAATGTATATGAGTACGGATTAGAGCGACATTTGGCCTGAATGCTTTGCCTCTGTCACTCCATCCTCTTCGCGCAAGGTGCAATAGGGGTGGTTTTAGCATATGTCTCTACATGACTTTCCCTTTGTCACTCCATTCATCTTCTCGCAAGATGAAAATTGGGGGGGGGGTTAACACATGTCTCTCCCCCTCTGTCAGTCCATCGTCTTCTCGCAAGGTGAGAAAAGGGGGTGGTGTTAGCACATGTCACATGTCTCTACATGGCTGTCCATCTGTCACTCCCTTCATCTTCGCGCAAGGTGAAAATGGGGGGGGGTTTTGACACATGTCTCTCCATGGTCTTCCCTCTGTCACTCCATCCTCTTCTCGCAAGGTGAGAAAAAGGGGGTGGTTTTAGCGTATATCATATGTCTGTACATGGCTGTCCATCTATCACTCCGTTCATCTTCACGCAAGGTGAAATGGGGGGAGGGTTAACACATGTCTCTACATGGCTTTCCCTCTGTCACTCCATCCTCTCTCGCAAGGTGAGAATGGGGGTGGCTTTAACATAATTTGTCTCTCCATTGTTTTCCCTCTGTCACTCCATTTATCTTATCGCAAGGTGACAAAGTCGCAAGGTGAAAAAAGGGGGTGGTTTTAACACAGGTCTCTCCATGGTTTCCCTTGGTCACGTCATTCACTTTATCGCAATGCAAAAAGGGGGTGGTTTTAACATAAGTCTCTACATGGCTTTGCCGCTGTCATGCGCTTCCTCTTATATCGCAAGGCAGAGGGTGCGAAATAGTTTCTGAATCGAGCGAAATAGTTTCTGAATCGTAGTTTCCGAATTGAACGAAATAGTTTCTGAATCGTGCGAAATTGTTTCTGAACCGGGCGAAAAAGTTTCTGAATCGTTGTTTGTGAATCGGGCGAAAGAGTTTCTGAATCGCAGTTCCTGAATCGGCCTAGTTTCTTGAATCGGTGCAAACAGATTCTGAATCGGTCCAAGTAGTTTCTGGATCGTAGTTTCTGAATCGGTGCAAAAAGTTTCTGAATCGGTCCAAATAGTTTCTGAATCATAGTTTCGGAATCGCGGATAGTTTCTGAATCGGGTTTAAACCCTAGTTTCCGGAAGCCTCCCCCGTTTCAATGCAGGTCACCCTCCAGTTGAACCGAATCAGCGTGATGTGCTCCAGACCTGTTCAGATGGCTCAAAAGGTGAGATACAGGAAGGTGGGGTAGTAGCGGTATAACAGAAATATACAAGGACCCTTATGTAATCACCATTATCCCTTATGGTGACTACCACCTAAGGCATAGGAAATAAGCCCAGCATAGTGGAGTCTACAATAGGGGTCTTTACTAAAATAGGGCTTCTTTAGCCCACCTAATATCATCCCACCTTTTGAGCCCCCTGACCTGTAGCTATTGCTATTCGGTGCCGGAAGCGGAACACCAAATAGAATGCGAACCTTGGTGCTCATGATGCGAGGCAGGCACTCAAATGCTGCTACATGCTGGTGATTGATATGAGCCATGGTCTATGCTCCTAGTATCCCTCTCAATAACACCTATAGCTCTCACTTTATAACCCTCTTTAAGGAATTTAGACTACAGTATAGCTCACATGGCAGGGCGGTGACTTTCCTCAAGTGGAGCATGCAATCTAGCTGCAAAATCGAAAAGGAGGTGATCAGCTTCGCTGTGTGGATCAGCACCCAATCAATGAATCCGACAAAGTACACGCAAAATTCATTCACCTGAGATCTGCGCTGCGCATGTTTCAACAAGTTGCTGCAACAAACCAATCCGGGAGCTTCCTTTCCCTTTTAGTTTCCAGTTGAGACTATCCATCTTTCTTGGGCTAGGGCTATTCCGCCCTCAGCCCTTAACCCATTCTTAATATGGGGGGTAGGACTATTTCATGTTGCAGGATGGGGCCGGCAACGATGCATGGTTGGATGCATGGCTTGCCCTAGCAGTGCCATCCCTGGGAATTATGTAGGGATTCTATAGGGCTTACTTAGGGTTTAGCAGTTTGTTTCATTATATACGTAGGCAATGATATAGGGTTTATAGCTTTGCTACTAGGTTTAGGGTTGAGGAGTTTATATGGATTACATGGGGGATTACATGTGGATTGGATAGGGATGATAACCGGATTATAAGGATTATACCAGGATTGTATAGGGTTTAAGGTTTTGGATTATGTGGAATTGCATAGGGAAATATCTAGGGCGAATACATAGGTGTCATATAGGGATCATGCTGGCTTTATATCCGGGATTCTATTGGGATTTTCCGGAAAATTATGAAGACCTTGCACACCCAACCACGGCTCAACAAGTCCTGCCGAGTTGCTGTCCAGTCCGGCAACACACCTATTGTGAACATCAGAATAAAAACATTCAGATAGGTCGCCTCAGCTGCAGGCATTGGGATAATGGAAAAGAAAATGGAGACTACTATAGTGCATTGGGGTTATATGGGGATAATAGAAAGGAGAAAGGAAACTACTGTAAGCTGCACTTTCCGGCTGGTCAGCTAACTGCTGCCTGCTTGTCTGCATTTGGCTACATAACTTTCAACACTGCAGTTGCCACCTTTAGACTTTAGACAAGCATGCCTGTGAAAATTTCATCATGGGTCGAAGTATGATTCCAATGTGTTTTCAACACATTTGTCCGATCACCAACAAGCGCTACCATCTCCAGAACACCGCGCAGTCACGGGATGGCATAAGATTCCAGTTTCCATTTCATTGCTCATGTCCTTTCGCCAGAAGTACCCGACACGCCATGTCCGCACATATCACTGTCTAGATTGTGTTTTCGGTGATTTCTATTTGCTTTTCTGCCATTCATAGTGTTCATTATTTAGGCCCCTACGGTACCCCTAACACCCTACTGTAACCAGTTAGCCCTAAACCCTTAAACCCTAACTAGTTGGCCGAGGTGCCACACAGAAGTAGACATGGAGGCGTGTATAAACAAAGGAGGAAAAGTTCCGGCTCGTCCGATTGTTCAGGCGTCCGCAGATGCATGGTAAGCACCATATGCCTGGGATTCTTGCTGCTGGTTAGTAGGGAATAAGGGAATACATTATACAGAACTATACAGGGATAGTTATTTAAGAATATATTCCCTACAGCCCACCAGTGAGATTTGGTTGTAAGGCATGCAGCGGAACACCTCGCGGGCGTGTGCAGCTGGGGTGCTGCAACTTGCTGCTGGCTGAGACCAGTCAGCGAAAACTGGGTTGCTGTTAAGGAACATAATTTAGTTAGCATGATATGGATATGTAGTAAATAATAGGGTTTAGTTGTTCTAGGAACCTACTTTGAGTTCCTTAACAGCAACCCCGCAAATCCTGAGGTGGAGAGATTATCTACTCAACAAATCGCGGCCCGGGTGCAGGAGACCATGATGCATACCTGCAGCTGGGACAGAGGGATTGTATCAGGGGTCCCTTGCAAGGGGATATAGAGGACATATGGTGCACCATATATAGGGGTTAGGGTTTTCCAGAATTAGGGGTACCTTTTTGCGGGTCCCTCTAACTCGGATTACAATACGTGCAGCAGACATGGGGCAACCGGCTGCTTGCGCCAAGGAGCTGCCACCAGGATCCAATCCTTCTTTTGCTGTATGTCAAAGCCCAAAACTCAAATCTTCTGTTGTCTTATGAATTTATGGCAGTTCGCCGCAGCGAAGGACGGCATTTGTGCATTGCCGGTACGCGCAGCTGCACAATCACAACTGGGCGGTACTTCAAAGCCCCATAAAGCCCCCATATAGACCACAATAGTGGAAAACCCGAAGCTCAAGACCCTAATACCACAATAGGGTTTATATTTTAGGGACCCCAAACCCTAAACCCGAACAAGCAAACGTCCTGGTACTCGGTGTCAATGTCAAGCCGGAACGGCCACTTATCATAAACGATGCCATGCCTGCTAAATGGTAATAGTTTAGGTGGACCCCCCACCCAGTAATAGCCACCATAAGGCATAATGGTGATTATATTAAGGTCCCCTTATACTCCTAGTATACCACTATTACCGGGGCCAAGGGCTCCGCCAAAGTAATAGCAAAGTTTAGGATTCAGGGCGCATTCAAGAGGGATAGTAAATAGTGATGGTAATAGCATAAATAACAATAATGATAACACAACATAGCGGTGATGGCAATGATAATTGTAAAAGAAACGAGCACATAGACTCCCATGGTCCATGGCAAACAGACGATCTTTCCGGCTCAAGCGGTATGTCCAGCTTGCGAAAACACGGTGCATCGCGCATCGAGCACGCAAAGCGTTAACGCCAGAAAGCCCGATACCCCTCAATTAAGGAATGTACCTTCAATCATATTACTGTTGATACTAAGAATCCTGCATGCCTCAATATACTACAGTACCAAAATTACCAAAGTGTAAGGTACTTAGGGTCATGCAGGATGTTTAGTATCCACCGTAGGATCCCCAAAATATTGTTTAAGGAATGATCCTCAATTAATCAAGCGGTCTTGGGCTCCCTGGGACTAGGAAGAGTCACCCACGTTGGTGGGCAACCGGAAGTTGCTTGAAGCAGCTTTGGCTGTCTTGTTTGCTGGAAACTACTAATATTGGGGCAATATAGCGGATATATATATATATATCCCTAAACCCTAAACCCCAAATGTATATGGATAATGGAAAAGCAAATTGGAAACTACTAATTATAGGGGATAGGCCTGAGCCTGGGCAAGGACAAGCCTAGACATGCAGCATCCGACCATCCAGTGCTGGGGCGATGCAGGAACTCCCTGCACTGGCAACAGCGTTGAAAAAGGCCTCCACCAGCGGAATTGCATCATTCATCGTAACCATGTTGTAGAGTTGGTTGCTTGACAGACTGGATTCTGACAGCATGTAATCTGTGAGCGCAACCGTATACTTTGTGCTGTCCAGAATAGGCCTGCCGTCCAAGGAGGTCATGGTTTTGACACGCATTCCAGGCGGCGCTGCCGGATCAAACGTGTACCGCATTCCGGCACAGTTCACAAATCTGCCGCAGACGGTCTGGTAGCAACTCAGCGAGTCATCGATGTACTTCTTGATCTCTGCCCCGGTAGCATATATCTTGACGATGGCATTCCTTAACCCGCTTGATACTACTGGTAGAACCATTACTGTATTAACTAGTCCCACTACCATTACCGTATAGGCAGCAACAGTTTTGTTTCATCAGCGTTTAACTGCTGCTGAAGCTCCCGAACGGATGCAGCTCAGTCAGTGTCTCCTTCGACAGGTCGCCAGGCGGGAAAACCTGGCCAGGGCGGGTAGCATGTGAGCTAAGACCTAAACCCTAAACCCTAACCTCCTAGGATCCCCTAGAGTAGTCCTCTATACAATCCCCTATTTCCCCACCTCTTGAGGAGTTTAGACTGTAGCGCATGTGAATCACGGCGGTCCTAGTATGCCAGCGATGCAAGGCTTAAGCTTAAGTGTCGCCCACAGTAACCAAAATCTTAACCGACCACCCCCTGACGCCTTGTTGCCTCGTATGGTTCCTCCATTGATGAGAGCAAAGTCTGTCCTTCAAGGCATTCCTACAGAGCTTCAAGGGAATGTCCTAAAATTAGGGGTACCCTTTTTGAGGGTCCCTATAATAAGGACTGTAATATTTTGGGTCTATATTGGGGTCCCCTTATTTTGGGAAACTACCTCAATCTGCAACAAAAGTAGCAGCACAAGCTCGACATACTATAACCCCTATATAATCCCTATATAACCCCTTGTAACCCCAACATAACCCCTATGACCTCTGTATAACCCTAAAAACCCCTATATATCCCAGGCCTGTGCATATGCCAGACGGCATCGGAAACAAAGTTTCCAGCGTTTGTCTCCTTCTGCCGCACATGTTGATCCCTTGCATCCAGGGCCACACTGGAACAGCCAATCCTGGGTTGCTGTTTAGGAATATTTTATGGCATCTTATCGTATATTATAGTATGTTATGGTATACTATAGTATATGATAGCACAGAATGATATATCCTAGTATATTACTCAATTTGAGTTACAGCATGATGGGTATATAGCAAATAATGGGGTTTCCTTATCAAAAATCCCCAAACCCTATGTGCCCTTATTCTAGTAACTTAATCTAAATTTCTTCCTAACCGCAACCAAGAATCTTCTTGGCTAGCTCGGAGCTTCCCCTCTCCTCCCACTGCACCACCTTTTTATGCCTTATCAGTCTCAGCATCTGCAGAGAATGCACAGAGCAGCATGTCGCATATGAGAAAGAGGGATGGAATCATTCTTTTCATTCGGGGTGGAACTATCCCGAATTCAGATGCTACTCATCTGAGGCTGTGGACAAACCAATGGAGAAGGGATCAAAGTCCGTCAGCGTGATCAGTTCACCTTCCACGGAATCCACGTGCCCATCGTCCGTCAAAAGTAGTTTCATCTTCCACTGCGTCTTTAGATCTGAGTCTGCCTGAAGGTTTAGGGTTTAGGGCTATGAGGGTTTAAGGGTTTAGGATTGAGGGTTTGAGATGTGAGGGTTAAGGGTTTAGGGAAGCACTTGCAATGTGGATGCGAGCTGCTCTGTTCCGCTACTATGCTGCTCTATGGGGGTTCCATATATGGGTGGCCCTGACATACACTCCAGTATACTGTTGCCTCTGTCCTTACTACGGGTACAGTACCCATAGTAGAGGTCTGTACTTTGAGGAGTTCATTCGCTGATTCGGGATGATGGCGGAGAGGAGTCGATAATCGACCGGAAATGGATAGCTGAAAAATGATATCAGAAGAACAAGACCGAACATTGGACAAGCGAAAGCAGTAGAATTACAGACAACAGCATTTGCAGGTGCTGTTGATGCTAAAAGCACTTATGCTAAAATGACATCATGGCCGTAGAAATCTCCATGCTGCCAGCTCATGGTACCAGGCCCGCTTTCAGCACCAGCCCTACCCTCAGACAGGCTGTCCAAGTTGCAAAAGACCAAAAGATGGCGGGTTTCCATAAACAGGGATCCCAAATACAGAGCCCAAATGCAAACTACTCCTCTTGGGACCCCAGAAGGGGCCCTAAACCCTAAACCCTTTAACATCTATACCCAAAACCCTCTGAACCCGGAACCCAAAACCCTTTATATCCTAAACGAACTGAGCCCAAATCTGATCCAGGACTGAAAAAAACTATTTTGCCTTCACGTACGGTGCATGCCCACATACCGTCTTCAGTTCTGTGCTGTGATTATGCCCACCCAAGATCCTTAGCTGCAGAATTTACTTACTGGTTAGGTTTTAGGGTTTCACCTGTACAGGAAGGTGGATTTCCAAAATTAGGGTGCCTTTTTGGGGAGCCTTACAAAAAGCATTTTGGGGGGCCATATTGGTGTCCCCTCTTTATGAAAACGACTACATCTGCAGAAGACAAGTCGCAAATCAACGCTGTCCCCCAAAGCCTTGCCAGAGTTGTCAAGCAGGTGTTCAACCCCTAAACCCTAAACCCGATGGGAGCTTCCATAGATAGAGGCCTCCTGGGACCCAAGGCATCTGGGGGTCCCAAAATGAGCTTTAGTCCAAGCTCCTTAAGAGGGGTTACATAGGGGACGGCTTCCTATTAGAGAACAAGGCTTATTAAGGGGAATACACGGAGTTAAGACTATAGATGAGGATGGTGCCGCCCGTTATACCGAGAACACAGTGCCAGGACCCTTAACCCTAAACCCTGAACCTTAATCCCAAAAACCTTGAATTCTAAATCCTAAACCGTAAACCCTAAATCTAAACCTTGAACTCTACACAAGATTACTGCGGATCTGAACCAGGTGTATATAGGGATAATGGACAAGAAGTTGGAAGCTACTACTTAGGGCTCAGGGTTTCCGTAAATTAGGGGTACCTTTTTGGGTACCCCCAAAAAAGGAGCCTAGTATGTACTATATTGATGTACCCTCATTTTGGGGTGAATTACCACATCCCCTAATCCCCAAACCCTCATCCCTAAACCCTAAACCCTAAACCCTAATCCCCAAGCCCTCATCCCTAAACCCTAAACCCTAATCCCCAAACCCTCATCCCCAAGCATCGCCTCTGACAGCTTACAGTCCGCGGACGCAAACTGATGGGTCAAGGCTAGGATGACCTTGCCTTCACGGTTTAGGGTTTAGGGTTTAGGTAGGTAGAATATAAGGTATATGGGGATCTTATTATAATTTACCCAAAGCCATATTCTATCTACTTAAGGGGGACTATAGGGTTTAGGGCATCCTACTGTTTAGGTTTAGGGCTACAAAAAACATAGGTAGACATTAGGTGGACCCCCCACCCTGTAATAGTGGTATAATAGGAATATAAGAGGACCCTAATATAGTTACTAGTATTTCTTATAGTCACTATTACAGGGTGGGGGGTCCTCCTAAAGCTTACCTTCGTTTAGGTTTAGGGTGTTGGGGGCATCCTACGGGTGCTTAGGGAAGAGTGGGGGAGTGGATCCCTATAATAGGGTTTTAAGGTTTAGGGCTTAGGGCTGGGGGAGCGGACCCCTATAATGGTCCCTATATACTCCCCATGTATACCCCTGTAATGGTACCTATATTCATTTCCCCACTCCCCCTTTAGCACCAGTAGGTCAATGCTAGTCAGCAAGTGCAAGGCTGACGTCGTGCACTACAAGGCATATCAACGCGTATCGCAGTACACAAAAGAAGCACTAAAACAAAAGAGCACTAATCGATCTAAGCTTACTTTGGCATGCCTCCAGTTGATCTAAGCCATGCTGCACTTGTGGTGGTCGCGGAGCGCTTTAGCTTCCTTCTGAGCCGCAGTCAAGGAGTCCACCTGGAAGTATCATCCCGCAATGAGACAGCCCTTTCTGCCACTGCCCGTACATTGACAGCCAAGCAACATACTGGATGCGGTGCCTGTCTTTGAACATAGTCTCGCGTACGTCGTATGCCACGCCAAACATGCACACGCGAGTCAATTTGATTTCGCCCGTGTCTGCCCAACGTGGTGCGAAGGGGATGTCCATAATTTTGTGGTACGAGGTGCCTGCAGACAGAAGGCTCCAATTCATGGCGCAAAATAATCTTGGTTGGCCTTTAGAGACCCTTGAAAAATACTAGTATGGATGGGTCCCTGTAAAACCAATAAGGGAAAATATTTAAGGAACCCAAAGGCATACAAAGGGATTTGATAGCTTGCCAGCAGACCTCACTCCGAGGCTTTTGGGCTTCTCACACTTCTTCAGCATGCACATTTACAGATCTCTATAGTCCCCCTTAAGTAGGTGGAATATGGCTTTGGGTATATCAGAATAAGATCCCTACATACCCCATATTCTATCTACTTAAGGGGGACTGTAACCATCAGGCATTACAACGAAAAAAAGTCGTTGACTGGCCTCCATTCGAGCCAGGGGAACCCGAGAGATGCCGTGATTCCGTTCCTACTCTTCCTTTATGGTGGTAGATGGGGTTCCCAAAACTAGCGATACCATTTTGGGGGTCTTTATAATATGGATTATAGTATTTGGGGGTCTATGTTGGGGTCCCCTATTTGGGAAACTACCATATAGGGATATTACCCCCCCCAACAATGGAGAATCAAATAGAAAAGAAAATTCAAAATAAAATGGAAACCCTAGGTCCCTTTGAAGGGGGTTGCTCCTCCTTCTGCCCAAGCATTATCTACTCTGACTTTGCTTGCTTCCCCTACTGTTGTTTTTACTGCTGCTGCTACTACTCACTATTCCTCCTGCTCCCCGCTAATGTTAAAACCATTGGAAGTAAACGATTTGAAGGACTCGCCCTATAGTGTCTTTCTGGTATTCATGCAAAGCAGCAAGCGATGGAACCCAAAGTAGCAGCAGCACCGCCGCCGCCCAGGACTACGACAAAGGTGACAATGACGACTAGTACTGGCAATGCTGCCGCCACAAAAAAATCACCACCACCGCAAGGATAATAACGACGATCTTTCAAATACGACAATTACGCAATAAGGCCACAAGTTCATGTTTCACATCACTAGTTTGCGCTGACGTGGTAAATGTTTCCATCTCTCAACTGGATGACTCTCTGGGTGTGTTGTTCAATCCAGGTGAAACAAATTTTGCGTTTCGCTCTGTGAAGTAAGGAAAGTAATGCCGGTGCGAAAAAAACGTTGGTGCGAGGGCCAGCGGACTTATGCTTCATCAGCCGGAAAAACCCAAGGAATTTCATGGACTTATTTTGGAAGAGTTGTGGTGGCTAGGAATCCTGTAGGCCAAGTGTGTGCACATATATAGGTAAAACAGATGGTAGTATGTGCATTACCGCCAAAATCAAAAAGTCATGCAAAACATCAGAGGCTAAGTGAACGGATGGGTGCACAGGCGCGGATGAAACACGTGCGGCCGCAAGGTTTCGCGTCAGAGCCCATGAGGCAAAGCGAGCGTATCGGTCCGGCCTGTACAAAGATGCTGCACAAAGCGCCCAAGTCGAGAAGATACATGGCCGTGGGGGCTGTTTGACACAAAGTTTGTTCATGGGCGGCTCCTGCACAATGACTACGAAGTACGACCAGCACAAACAGCATCACGCGACCACGTAGACTTTGAAGGGGTGTTAGGACTTGCTAGCAGTTAGACTCCTAAGATCTCCTAAGTCTCATCTTGTTAACATTCGGACTCATAAAAGACAAACGTGCGGGAACAGTTGGCCAGCAACTTCAACGCGATGAGCGTGCTCGAAAGTCAGCTTGAAATTGTTCAACACCCGAGGCTCTTTGACTTTTCACTGTCTTCCTAGCGTCCTGCCACATCGAGTCGTTTCAGCTGCATGCCAATGTAGAAAGCCAGAGGTTACGAAAACCACTTCCAACATCTACAGAGTCCACCCATATGAAAGAGCATGAACGTGAGAATTTCTCAAGAGGGGGGGCTTGATTCCCTAAACCCTAAACCCTAAACTCATGTGTTCATATAGGGAACTTCGGCTCATGTAGGGAAACCTAGACCTTTGGCATTCCAAGTTCCTTTAAGGATCATAGGGAGGGTTTTAGGGGTCCCTATTCGGGATTATATAACCAGGTAAGAGGACACTTAGGCCTAAAAAATCCTAAATAGACGGTAGAAGGAGGGTCTAGGTGTCTACATGTGAGCGGCGGACGAAAGTTCTTGTTTGGGCAAGGAGCGCCATTTCCCTATTCCGGCCCCTGATGTTGCTTGCTTCAAAAATACTCAAAAATTCCATGGCGTTGCTTTTTCTGAATCTAGGGGGATCTCTCATAAATGTAGGACCCATGAGCTCAAATAATATATCACTCAATGAAATATCTTGATCTCACTTGTTACTCTGGCCCCTTATCGCTTCCCTTAGAGCGGCGGATCCCAACGAGAAAATACTCAAATCCGTAGCCTTGGTTCTCTTGACGGAGCTTTAGGTCGGCGCTCATGTATGTATTATGAGGACTCTAGCGTGACGTTGGGGGCTATTATGGGCTATTTCGGGCTTATGTGAGGCCCCTGAGGGATTTTGTAAGGGTATATAGGGATAATCCCTCCCGAGAGGCCTGGGAACAAGGCACCAGTCTCATCCAGGAGATTGATGTTCAGCCAGGGAAACTTGGACTCTTCAATTCCTGGCTGGTACTTTAAAGGCACCCAAAATTATTTGTGAATAGGTTCCCTGGTACCAAAAAAAAAAGGGGGAATGACTAGTTAACTAGTTATTCCAATTTGCCGCCTGGATTCTCTTCTTCAGGGTCTCCACTCCGAAGTCAAACTCATGATTGCCAAGGGACGCAGCAGTAAGATTCAAGTAGTTCAGGATGTCTACCATCTGCTCCCCTTCAAATAAATCGCTCAGCACCGAGGGGGACAGCAAATCCCCTGCAAAGACAACAAATGTCCGGTCAGGATTTCGCTTCCTGGCTTGCTCTATGACATAGGCAGCCCGGGACATGCCGCCCTTGCGAACCCCACGGTCAAATACACCAGCCACCTGGTACACATCGTTGAAGTGGATTATGGTGATCTCATTGGACGGGCTGGGGACAACATGTAAGCTTGCGACGTAGCTAGGCTCATCCTGTTTCTGGCAAAAACCATCGGGCCAGTTGCTGTGGCAGCCATTGGCAGAGCTCAGGAAACCAAATTTAAGCAACTCGCCACTCGAGCAGTAAGGATCCAAAACCCCATCTCCATCGCAATCGTGATACTCGAGGTGATCATCATCCTTCTGACAGAAGTCAGGAGGTCTTCGGCAAGACCCCTCAGGGACGTCTGATTCCAGCAGCTGCATGACTGCCAAGCGTTTTTGTGAGGCAGGGTAGCAGCGTTGTGCAGAGCAGACACCCTCGCCCACTTCAACTTGAACCCGCGTTAGGCCGCGAACTGCAATTACAACTGCTACAAGGGTGGCCAGCATTGCAAACCTGAGCGCAGTCAGCAATCGTGGCGTAAGGTCTGCCCGGCGATCGGTCACATTGCGTGGAGACGGCGACTCCTCATCTGCTAGCAGGATTTGCGTATCGCGCGAGTCTGCCATCGCTGCAGGTGCTCTTTGAGAAAGTCGGGCGGGGGAGGGGCAACCTACTATACCCAATCTGCAGGTGGAGCGTGTTAGGGCATGCAAGCTCATAAGCTTGGGGCATGGCATGTATTACGTGAACGACACTTGCATAAGGAGCCACACTGCGGGAAGACGCAGACGCATGGATGCACGTGGTGGGGCTTTGACAGCTGCTTGCCCGGCTCACACAGAAAAATCAGCTCAAGCGACGCCTCTCTTTGTCGCCGCCAATGAGTGGCCCCAGCTCAAAGGGGGGCGGCCTGACTGGCTCTTTAGACAACGCGCTTGGCAAGGTTTGCGCGAAAACATGCAAGAGGGTCTGTGAACTTGCTAGAAACCTCTTGCAAAGTCGATGGTGACAGAGGTCTGGGACTTTGTGGATCTGCGCGAGGTGATTGGCTCGTTCCTCTTGGGACACTTGATTTGAGCTAGTCTAAACTGATAGTATCCCCCTTAATACGCCCTATAATCGTTCCCTATATAGTCCCTTATGTAACCCCCTTTAAGGACGTTCAGGAGTTTAGACTATAGCTCTTTGGAAGATTTATGATGCTTACAGGCAGAGAGGCTTTTAAGAAAACGATTTTGCCACGTTGAAGGTGCATTAAAAGACGGATGTGGGGGGTTTCCATGAGAAGGGGACCAATATGGGTTTAGGGGTTTAGGGTTTCAATAGGGGGGTCCATACATAAGGGGCCAATATGACCCTGAAATACTGCAAGCCCTATCACCCCCCAACTTGTAGAACACCTCCCCCCATATACACATCATGTCGCCCAGGCGCATGGTCCCCCGCCAATAGCATAGGTGAACTAGAAAGGCTGCAAATGACGACCCTGGCGTCCTTTGGGCCAAATGGTCTGCAGCAATTCAGGGAAATTCTGGCGGTACGCGCTGAGAACCCTGGGTGTATCCCACATGTCTGGCTTCTGCATAAGGGACGTGATTTGAACCCTTGTTTCCAAGGCATCCACGTTAGCGCATAGGCTTGTGATTGCATCCGAGGGGCAGGCTACGATCAGTCCAACAACAAGCGCCTCTTTGAAGAATGCTGGCATGGAATGCGGAAGGGCACGCACCTATCCTGCAGTCGCTGACTGTCAGGGGTTGACGAGCTGCCTAAAGGACCCACATGCTGCTTGGCATCGTCGGCCCCGGACCTCCCAGCTTGCACAATTCTGTGGCAAAGCTGGGGATGCTGTTTAAGTGCCAGCTACAGCTTGGCAAATCGAGATCACAGCTATTGCAATGTAGGGGCCTAGATAATTGCCGATATGATTTTGAGGTCTATTTGAGGTACCCTATAGTATAGTGATTCAAGGAATATGGGGCTACAATATTGGGAATTATTTAGGCCCCTATATTCGTGTGATCCATGTTCAATACTGTATAGTGGAGGTTTCCGCATTGCTAGTTAAGCTCACCTTCTTCGTTACGATGATAAACTTACGCTTCTGCATGTGGTAGTTTCCCAAAACAGGGGACCCCGATATAAACCCCAAAATGCTATAGTCCTTATGATAGGAGCCCCCGAAACAGTACCCCTAATTTTGAGAAACCCTAAACCTTATATAACCTAAGCCCTAAGCCCCATAGTGTTGATGGATGAAATCTTGCACCACCTAGGGTCACTAAACTACTCTAGTTCCTAGGACTTTAGGGACTCAAGGGGGTGCAAGATTTCCTCCATCAACAGTATAACTCCTATATATCTCCCACGTCCCTAAACCCTAAACCCTGGGCCCTGCCTGGGCTACTTTTTTTTTGGGAAAGGCCACGGTTTAGGGTTTAGGGGTTTAGGGAAAGTCCAACAGTATAAGCCCTAAACCCTAACCCTCTTACCCTCCTGCCTTGCATCTGTGCTCGTCGGCTGTGCTTCCACTCCCATCCGAAGCGGTTTAGGGTTAAGGATTTAGGGTGAGGGTTTAGGGCCTTTTGAAGACATCCGGCTAAAAACCTAAAGCCCACGGCTCAAGCATGACAGAATATTGTGCACGAGACAGATCTGACGGATCTTGCCAAGCTTTGCTTTCTGGGCGTAAGTAGGAATAAGGGAATATCATATACAGGGATTATGTAGGGATCAAATAAGGATTCTATAGGGATTCTATAGGGATGATGTGGGGATCATGTTCCATTCTTCCCCACTGACCACCAGTAAGGTAGAGGTGGCGAGATTTACAAAGTGGATCTGTAGCGTCCTGCTGCGACCCTACTGTTAGCAAGCCGTGGCTGCATGAAGGGACGAAGCAAACCGGACAACCTGAGAGAGCATCAGGCAGAACTACGCAACAAGGGAAATGTTCCGTGTTTAGGGCCCTTTCCATACTCCACGTGCTCATAACACACCCGTTCCTAGGCCATGAAAGGGCAGTCCCGGCCTCCTTCGAGGATCCACACTTGGGCACCAATGGGCATTCGGGCCGGGAAGATGATGAAAACAGTGCAAGGTTGCAGCAAGATTTCTACGTACTTGGGGATAGTAGGGAATATATTCTATGGGGCTTATATAGGGATTGTATTCCCTTATCCCCTACAAACCCTAAGCCCTAAACCCTAATGATATTGCTGTATTCCCTACTAACCACCAGTAAGTCTAAGTCTAAGGTGAGGTCTCATCATCGGAGCGCCCGTCGGCAAATGGTGCCGTTGGAGCGACAGGCTTCTCATCGCACAACTTCCTGCAACCGCGGTACGAGCTGGGAAACTGGGGGTTTCTATAAGGATGATATAAGGTTATATGGGGGTATGTGGGGTTGTAGAGGAATTATATAGGGATATATTAGCATGATATGGGATTATGTAGGTTTGTATTGGGTTATGTGGGATTATATATGAGTTATATAGGGATATAAAAGCATGATATGGGATTATATAGGGTTTTATTGGGTTATGTGGGATTATATGTGAGTTATATAGGGATATATAAGCATGATATGGGATTATATAAGGTTATATTCGGGTTATGGTGGACTATATATGAGTTATATAGGGGTATTTAAGGATGATATAAGGACATACAACCCTCAATAATGGAAATCAAATGGACGAGCAAATGGAAAATGAGATGGAAACTGCGG